CGATCTGGGCCCCGCGGGCCGCCGTGGGGCGGGCGGCGGCGCTGGGGTCCGCTGGGGGCCGGGGGGGCAGCCGCGGCCTGTGTCCCCCCAGCCCCGGGGGTGCGGGGGAGCCCCGGGGCGGGCCGGTTCCCCGCGGTGGGTGGCGGGGGGACAGGGCCCGGCCGCCGGGGGAGGAGGTCGGTCGGTCTGTCTGTCTGTCTATCGTCCCTCCGTCCTTCCCTCCATCGCGCTGTAATTACAGCCAGCGCGGCGGGCAGGCGTGTCTCCGGTGTCGCCTGTTCACCGGCAGATAATGCCTCCTACAAACGAGCCCCATCAATATTAAACGGAGGCGGGTGTCCCCTTCCTTCCCCACTGCCAAGTTGGCCGAGGCGTCGGAGGTGGCCGGGGACAGGGGCTCCTGCTGGGGCTGTCACCGGGCGGGCTCTCCCTGCCCTCCCACCCCGCAGAGGTCCCTCCGGGCCGGGGTCTCCATGGCTGGGGGCCCTGCCGTCCCACGGCTGCTTACTCCCAGTGGGTCTTCTCTGGTCGGCGTCCTCTTGCTCTCTTACTTCCTTGTCTCATGCTTCAGAAGGACTCGTGCTGTTTAATTTCTGTTAAATTGAATTACTCATCTTTCCGAGGGGGAGTAGACATCTTAGGCTTTGGTGTTCGGGGTCATAAACTCTCCTAAGGATGGCCCAGCCCGTCAGGTTAAAAGGTGCCAAAGTGAACAGTCTGCTCTCCCTACTGCTCTGTGCTTTTCTTCTTCCCCTCCTCGATGAAACTTTACGTTATTGCATCACCTAATATTAGCTGTGTGAGCTCTCCTAGCTTACCTCCAGGTGTCCTGGCGCACTTCATCCTTAATTGTGGTTTATTTATTTTGACGTTTTGGATGCGGACTGAAATTCCATTGTGCTGGGTGTCGTACTAACCCTGGCAAAATGTGCTCTGCTCTCTGTTCCTGGCCAACGGGTGAGATAGGAGGGTGAACAAGGAGCAGTGATTTCAGATGCTGCCTTCCTGATAGGTGAGGTTTGTGTGGGTGCCATAAAGCCAAGAAAAATTCCAAGAGGGCACCTAAAAGAAAGAGGAAGTCACTGTACAGTGCTCACCTAGTACCTTAAGAGCATTCACTGGTGTGTCAGGAGCACAAGGGTGACTGGCCTTCGTGTCGAATAGTTGCCGGAATAAAAGCCAAAGTAAATACTTTTATGGCATGAGGTTAAGACACATGCTGAGTATCTCAAGGCCTGTATAGTGTATTGGAGAGGGAGGAGCCCTCTCTGGTTGGAGACTGGGAAAAAATGAGATGGCAACCTGACCGAAGCCATCTAACAACTTCCTGAATTGGAAAAGATCAGATTTGTAAAGAAAGATCAAGAGTGTAAAGCTTCAAACAGGAGATACTGTAACATTTGAGCTATAAAGTGAGTCTACCTGGCAATTCTAAAATAGATCTACATTGCTACAGTTTCAGAAAGATAAAAAAAAAATTACAGATGCTGAACTTTCTGCTTGCAGCTGGGAGAGTTGGCTTTTATTGATGTTGTGCATGTAAAAATTAAAAGGACAAATGCTACAGTGATGACTAAAACCTGCATCCAGGTGTGTTGGTGAGCTAATAACCAAAGCAACAGCTGAAACATACTATTCTATTTACTAATTTAGAACTCTGAACCAGATTACTCAGGGAACCAGAATCGTTGTTCCTTGATGAATCTTTACTGTCTAGAACTAGTTCATTTGTCTGAAACTGTACCAGTACCAGCTGTGTGGAGCTGCTTACTGTAGGTAGTGTAAGAGGGGCGTAGGATGTCTGTGCAGGGAATTAAAGCCTGCTTTTAATCTTTAAATATTAACTAGTACTTTTTTTTTTTTTTTTTCCCTAAGTTAAAATATTTGAAGCATTTGAGTTAGACGATCCAAAGTCAGAGAAGAGGCTGTACCCTGAGAGGAGCTCTAAGGAGAGGCTCATGTTGCTTGCCGTTATTAATCACAGTGATATTTGGGATGCTGTGTTGCATGAAATAGTGCTCCTCAGCACTGGGACTGAACATGAAAAATGGCATCGTTGTACGATGCCAATAAAGGAGAGTGAAATGTTCATAAAAGGCTGATTCTGTGGTGCTCTTTGCTTCAAAAAATACAGAACTGAGTCACAGTGAGTGGTGCCTGCTTTTATAGCAGCAGCAAGGAGCACTCCCTGGGCTTAGGTTGCTTCACTGTTCTCAGCTTTCATATTTTTGTAGCTTTGCTGTTCTCCTGCTCTGTTCCCAAGACTGATCCTCAGCGGAGAGAGTGTGCCGCTCCCCGGATAGTCAGTTTTGTCTTTCTACATGAAAATGTAATTCTGCCTGAAAACGTAATGCCTGTTCGGCTGAATTACCCCATTGAAAACTCGTCGCTTGATTCTGCTCTGCTCCTCCAGGAAAGCCTCTGGAACGTGCCACAGTAGCTAAAGTCACGCTGGGGGAGGTTGAAATGACTTGCAGTTTTGAGAAGCAGCGGAACGAGGGCCGGGAGAGAGGACGAACGTGTGTGCACTCCCTCTCCACGCTGTAGAGCTCGGCACGTGATCCTCACCTTCCCTCCCTCTTCTCTGTGGGCATGAGAAAAATCTGTGCCCGGAATGAAGAAAGCCCTTCTGCTCCCCACGGCCCCCTCCCTGCCCCACACGCTTCCCAGCTAACCCCGCCTGTTTGCGCCGTAAAGCTAATTAGTGTCATCGAGCATGAGAGACAGGAGTGATGATGCTGCGCTTGCAGCGATTAAGAAATGTCTTACAACTATGTGATAAACTGTGGGGTTTTTTTATTAATAATTTTTATTTGTGATGTGTAGAGCCTGTGAAAGTTGCACGGACCCTAAATTGTGTGCACCTACGTGTATTCCTTATGATACGGGTTTGAATTACATAAGCTCATACATTTTTAAAAACCTTTGTGGTACATTAAAAACATGTGGCTGGCATTTCCTGACTTCTGTGTGCTTCTCTGTGTGGCAGAGTTATTCTCAGAGCAGTTCTGTGCATTTGATGCCATAGTATCTAAAAGCTTTACCGAGGTGAAGGCTCTATTTTGATAATACAATACTACAGTTCTCTGGCCACAGGAGTTACTAGCCTAAAGAACTATTGATTGGCCTTTGCTCTAGAAGTATATATTTTTAATGCTTGTGACCCAACGACTGCATTGTAGTATTCAGCAGCTGGAAGAACAAAACCAGATATTGTATTTCTCTTTTTATATGTCCTTAGCCACAAACCTAAATGTTGTTCTTTTAGCATGGTCCCTTGTGCAAACTGTGATTGCTGCTGAAAGCCCACCGAGGCAGGTTCCTTGGTGCATCTTTTTAAAGCTTGAGCCTGGCTGCTTAGTTATCCTTCAGTCGGTTCTCTTCTGTGCCAGAGGTGTCTGTCAGCTTGGAAAGGGGTGGCTACAGCCTTTGGACTACTTGATCAATTTCGCTAGATATTCATTCTGAAAACAACAATACTTTTAAATATTGACACGCTCATCAGATCATTTGACGTGTCCCACTAAGAAACTCCTATGTAACCCTGTGCTCTTTCAGAATAGATGTTTTTAATCCCACCTGTCCATGCTGAAGTGAAGGCAGTTACCTTTTTGTTATTTTTAGTGAAGAGATCAGTTTTTATGTATCTACAAATAATAATGTTTCAATCTTATCTTTTACCCACAGCAAATGTCCATTGTATATGGTAATCAATGTCAAATATTTTAAATATCCCATGAGGTTTTTTAAGGGGGAACTTTTCCAGCTCCAGAAGCACGTACTTGAAATAACAATTTTTTTTTTCTTCTTTATAGCAACTTGCAAGTGGAGATAGAGGCTTTGAGAATGTGGAGCTGGGTGTCATAGGAAAGAAGAAGAAAATTCCAAGGAGGGTTATTCATTTTGCAAGTGGAGAAACAATGGAAGAATATAGCACAGATGAAGAGGAAGATGAACAAGAGAAAAAAGACCTGTTACCTCCTGTAGATCCCGTAGGTATTTTACTTGATAAATTGCAACTTCTGGTTTACTGGGTAACTACCCACATTTTATACTTTAATGTTTGTGTCACAAATCTGATTTAATATAAAGATTCCCTTAATTTGATTGGCTCTAGGGACTGGGAAAGCAGTGAGAAGTATTCCTGAGTTTTGTCCTGGAGTCTTCCTCCACTAAAGTAGCCCTGCTAATGAGAAATGGGTTTAATTTCTTCACAGTTCTTATCTGTCCTCTCCAGCATTTCTCCCTGTAATAGTATTTGCTTGGTATGTCCTTGATTTGTACTGTTGTTTAAAAAACCGTGCAAGGAAGGCATTTGTTTCCTTATGTTAGGTGACAGTGGAGAGTTGAACCTTTAATTTAGTCTTACCATATGAGCAATGTGATATAATTAGAACAGTATAGAAGGGAAAGAAACAGATGGCTTGCAGAAATAAAGGAAAACTGGTGTAATACATGATAGGTCAAAAACAAGTTTTAAAGGACCTGCCTGGTCCATGTATGAGACATTCATCTGTCTTGTAAGCCATTAAGATGTTGTTTGATCTGTGAATGGAGCCTCCATTTATGGTCCAAATACAAGTGGAGTTATGACAATTAAAGCTGTCTCCAGTAGAGTGCATTGTAGATGCTAAAATACATTTTCCTTTTTGTCAATGATTCTGGATCTATACTTACTCGCTTCGGGTAAGAGTCTTTGCATGCAGGGAAACCAGTGCCCTGTTTTCTATTTGACTTTGCTGTCATCGAAATGACTTCTGCACCATTGTTTGGGGATCTGTGAGTAACAAATGTTGTGGTTGAAGTTCTCTATTTACTGTACAGTAGTAGGCCCTGTATTTATTTATGTGCATATCCACCCTGGAAGAGCTGGGTTTATTGAAGGGACTGCAGTGATGAGTTCTCCTTTCTGCTCACTCTCTTCTTCAGAAGTGGTGAACCATAAGGGGTTTGCTTTGGGAAGGACTGCCAATCAGTTCTTTTTTTCCTCTCTGTAAAATTAATTTATGTTGAAGGACAAAAAGAAAGCAGTTTGAGGACTGAGCTGCAGTGAGACTCTGGGAATTCAGCTGGGCCTGGGGTTCCTGGTGGGTCACAGGTGAAGCTGTTGCATTTCATCTTGGATGGATTGATGGAACTGCTGCCTCTTTCTTGCTGGGCAGTTCTTGTATACAATGAGAAAATAACATTAGCCTGAGAGCAGGTAGGATATCATCAGTATAGAATACACCTGAAGTTTATACATTGAAAATGCATGCATTATGCTCGCAAGCAGTGAGTAGATGTTAAGCTGCCTTGCAGGGTGGTGGGGTGTTTTTTCCTGCCCTAAGCATCTACTCAAAGAAATGCAAGAACTGTGAAACTTACTGAATGTTATGGTAACATTCAGGTATCTTCAGAGCCAGATCTCTTCCCTGATACGCATGTCATGTCAGACATCCGTGGATGGGTAAGAGATTTTTTCCCAACTGTAATGAGCAGGGGACCAGATCTGTATGATTTTTTGTGCCGTTTCCTCTCGGTAGAAGAGTTCCTGTGTGCTGTGGTGCAGTGATGGAAGGCTCACCAGCCTTCATGCACGTCTTGTGGGGCAGAGAGGTGTGTGCTGCTGTACACATGGGCACTTAACTAAAGAGCCCTCAGGCGTGCCCAGCAGCCGGGAGCGCGGCGTGATCGTTCTCCTGCTTTCCTGTGGAAAAAAATGGACTTTTTTTCTGAATACCAAAAGGTATATTGTACAGCACAGTTAAGATTGCTTTATTCTCCTTTTATAATTTATGAAATCCTTAATTTTTATTTCACTTTTTAATAAAAGGACCTCCCAAACCAGAATAGTTTATTGTGGAGCACAGTATGCTTTATTACGTGTTGCTTTTTGCCTTGACAGAATAAACTTGATTAGACCAAGGGTTGCCATTAAATGAAGTTTACCTTATCTGCTGCATGCTTCGTGTATCCCAGCTGAGCCAGTCAATTGAAGAAATGTTAGACCAAGCTGAGCTTTGATGTTTTAGCCAACAGCTGCCTTAAAAATGTTTTTATTGCAGGATTTCTATAAAAGCAATTAAATAGTCAGTTTGCTGAGAGCAGCATGTCTAAAACTTGTTATCTCGGTTGGGATACAAAAAAGTATGTTGCAAGTAATAGCTGTTTCTGGTCCAATTTATTTTTAGAAAAAGCACATTTAATATTTTGAATAGAAACTTTGCATCATGAAATTTGAAAGCTCAGCTGGTATTGGCGTCCTGGAAGCTTCTGAATGAGTTTAAGGGAAACAAATATTTTGCCGTGTTTTAAAGAAACATCTTCAGTTGAAGTGCCTTGGTTTAATCGTGTTTTAGAGCTAAGCAGACAATAACAATGTCTTTCTTACTAAGCAAAGTAATACGTATATATACTGGTAATATGATAACCAAGGCATTCAGTGTAATGGACTGCTGCCACTCAGAACAAAAAAAAATTAAAAAGATCTAGGTCTTAAATTTTGCTTTGAAACAACGATACTGATACTTCTATAGGTCAGCACTCAGTTCATTAGCATTTTTGGACTGGAATGAGTTGAATCCAGAACACTTAATATTTTTTTCCCTGGATTTTTTGGATAACAACATTCAGTATTCCCTGAGTGTTCTCAATTTAAAATTTAAATGCTTTAATAACATAAATCCTTTAATTTTAACTGAGTCTTCTATTTTGTCCTAAAATTTAGATGCTTACACTTTATATGTAAATCTCCTTTTAGTTCTGTTCACTAAAACTTTATTTTGCAGTAATTAAATTTCTCTAACCTCTTCTAGAAGATAATCTTTCTGTTTATCCCTGGAGGGCCACTTGCTATAAACTCTTCGTTGCATTCACCTATTACATTAGTAGGCAGAAGCTGGAGTGTAAGTCTTTGCAGAGCAACTCTAAGCAATCTAACTGTTGGTGATAACCTTAGAATTCACCCTGAGAACATCTCTGTGACAAAGCTCCAGAAGAGATTTAATTTTATTAAGCTTCAGGGCTTAGAAAGATTGAAACACTTTCTTGCAGGACAATTATCTTGATACCCTGTAGTTAAAAGGAGCTTAACTTCCAATAGCAAAAAGTCCTCTCTTGAGAACCATCGAACTCTAATTTTCTTTTAAGAATTTGGGGATGAGGGAGAAAATAGTCACTGAGCAAGTAATAGCTACTCATAACATGGTAGAAGCTTTTTGATGGAGGATGGTGTGTGTGTTTCTGATCTTGTTTTCACTGGCTTGTCTTAGGTGCCACAGTTTTACATGGTGCATACACTGAAGGACCTATTATAGCAATGACCAGTCAATAATTAAACTAATTTAAAATGCATCTTGGCACTGTAAACAATGAAAAAGTATCTATTGTATCTATTTGGTGGTGTATATTAACTCTTAAATACAGGATTTGTTTTTTCTTAAATCGGGAAATTATTCTTTCCCTCATTTTGCCATTTTCTCTGGCAAAAAGAAACCTGACATTCTTTGGAAAGTTCAAGTGTTATTAGGAACTGAAATCTGGTAAAAATAAATACAGATGTGGATTGTTTAGGAACACGATGCACTTAGAAGTTCACGGGAGCACGTGTGTGTTCCCTTCAGCAGCCCCATACTAGGAAAGAAACTAATGTTGTGTCATTGAACCAGAGCTCTCTTGGTTTTATCAATGGTTGAATCCATTGTGTTCATTCCTTCTTAAAATGCAGCACTTGGATTCAAATTGTACATTAAGGATTTTTGTGATTTAAAACCCAGTTGTCATAACCATTGTGTTTTCCATTTTAAACATCAAAATAAAGGCAGGAGAGCTGAATAGCATAATGAAGCGTTGTAGAAACATATACTAAAGAGACTGATGGCAGGGGAAGTACTATGCTGGTAGAATAAAGCACTGTCCTGTGTTTCGTACTGCTGCCCCTTGTTTCCAGTCAAGAGATACAGTATTACTGTGTCCTTGTGGTGTTTAAATTCTGAGCATTAAGGCTTCTTTGGCCAAAGAAGGTTGATATATAGTATCTGGGTATGTGATTCTTATTGTACGTTAGTAAGACCTGACTTGGGTACCATTTTTCATTTTCCTGTATTACTCAATGCTTTAAAGCTGCTTCATGGAGTGGGATTAGTTTATACTGAGCTTCTGCCCAACAGCCCTGTTTGTACCACTAGAACGATTCTGGTTTTCCATTTCTGCTTCAGTCTCCAAGGTGTTCTGGGGAACCATCCAAACTTACCCTGAGGAAGTGAGAAGGGTTTAAAAAGAAAAAAAAGAAAGGAGGAGTATTCCTTGGATTTGTTCCTGATTGTTCTCGGTGGTTTACTCTCCAAGGCATCTCCTTTCTCCTGTTGTATTTGTGTGAAGTAGCTTCTCTTGTAGTTTCATATTGCCTTTTGAGATGCTTGAGGGAATGCTCCTTTTTTGAATTGAGGGGGCTGGCAAAGCCTTGCTTGGCGGGGGTGAAGAAGTGTCTGGCCGGGCTTTGTCAGAAAGTGGAGGTTTCCGTGAAGCTGAACTTAAAAGTGCTCCTCACACACCGAACTGGTTTTTAATTGTGGTGGGGGAACAGTAGAAATATAGTCAGAACCTCTGTGTCTGCCTTTGTGAACCTCAGATATTCCCTACCTTTGTGTTACCACAAACATTTTAGAATACTCTGTGTCTGAGTTACTTCTGTCAGGGTGAAGTTCAGCTTGTCTTTTCACTCTCAGACACTCAGGGGGCTCTTGTAGCTTCTTGCTTACAGCCACACAGCAGGCCCTCCTTTGTCCTGTGCACCCTGTGAATGCTTTTAAACCTTGTCACCTCGTTATGAAGGATTGTACAGAGCCTCATCAATGCCATTATTTGCACCTGTGGCAACAAGCTTTTCCAGCACTTTTCTTGACTTCTTTAACTGAACAAACTCCAAAATGATTGTCGTTAGCCAGTCTGCCAACTGAGCACATAATCAACAAGCTGGAGGTGCTTTTGTGCAAGCAGGATAGCAGCTGGTTTTGCTTACACTTCTACCTTGGCAGGACATTTTCCGTACCCACTGCCAAAAATATATAGCATCTGGCTTTTTTGAGCCTACCCAACTTGAGTTTCTGGCTTGACAGACGATGTCTTGCTGCAGTGATTTGTAGAGGCTGTGCTTGGAGAGCACTGAAGTCTAGGAGCTGGTGTAGGTGCACCCTGAGGCTGTACCAGCTACTCTCTGTACCTCTGTTATTTATGATAAATAATGGTGGTCGTTCTGTACGGGTGTCTATTAAATAAGACCACAGGAGGTGGTTACTATCAAAGAGTTCTTAGCAACAAGTTATAAATACATATATAACTGAGTGGAGCCAATGGGTTTCATTTAATAAAAGCCAACACTTTTAATTGCTACTTTCCACAAGGAAAGTACCTCTACAGAGATCTTTACTGGGGGGGAAATACATAACAAAGAGCTTGCCTGAATACAACAGACTCATTACTATAAACATGTTTTATTTCACTATGAAATTTGAGTTTGCCTTTTCACAAAAGTGAAAGTCTACAGCTTTTCCCCCATTAGATTGGAATCTGCTTTTCCCCTTCTCCTTTTTATTGTGTGGCTTGCTCTTTGTTTTATGTTTTAAAAAAAAGAGATGCAGTCTCTTAGTGAGGAGGATAGCCCATGTATGCCCATTAATTTCTAAATTTTCTTTAAGTTCCTACTGCAAGTATCTCAGTTTGTCTGGAGGCTGCAGTACTCCCTCTGTGGTGGTGAATACACTATAGTTGTGCAAAGGGCTACTTTCCCTCCTTGGCTTCCCAGCCCGTCCTTCCTAAAGAGCCTGTATCTCCCTGCTGCAGCGCTCCAGCCATCGAGCTGGATCGAGCCGTCCCAGCAGGATCCCAGCCCTGTGGCTGCACAAAGATCTCTTAATTCCTTGTGTTCCCTGCCCATGCTGCCTGCCTTAGCGTGCAGGCACTTCAGAGAGACTTCCTTGCTTTCCTGCAAATGCTTCAGGTGATGTCATGTGAGCCCTGTTTGGTTAATTTTGTGTTCCTTGTTGTTCATGTCACCCCAGGTGCTTTGCTTTTCAGCCTGTCCTTCGCTCCCTCAGAGCTGCAGTAACTCTCATAACCCTCCCTCTCTCTCCTGGTTCCTGGTTTTGTTCTTCAGGTGCAATTCCAAATGATAATTCCTACCTGGTTGTAAATACTTGCAGCTCAGGGACCGCATTGAAGGTTTGGTTTTAAATAGTCTTTTGCCATTCTCTCATTATTATAACAAGCGACTACATGGTTATCTCACTTCTTTTCTTGGCCTGATGGAGTTCAGAACACTATGGAAAGGTCTTCTAGTTACAGGAGTGACCTTGGGATTGGGTTGGAAGCTTGTCATTTCCCACGCCTGGGAGTGGGAAACAAAAACCAGTGAAACAAATGTTCCCAGATGTAAAACACGGTTATATTTATATCTTCTGGTGATACTTTGCTTCATGTCTGTCTGGTCTAGACTTATTTTAAAGCAAAACTATCGTGGTAGCTGTCAAAAAGGAAACAGATCTTTCTTCTCAATCTGTTTGAGCTTTTGCATGTATTATTATGAGCCATGAACCTACAGCCATATGTATTTGCACTATTCTTGCTCTTACAGACAACGCTCACCTGGGGACCCTACTTGTGGTTTCACATGCTGCGAGTTGCCACATCAACCTTATCAGGTATTGCTTTATTTACTTTTTGGCTAAGCCAGCAATGGAATATTGAAAGTTGCTTTAACAGGCTGTAAATCATCTTGGTGAGCTGCTGGCCATTTTCTCAGAAGTATGAATGAAGCTGTATTTTATCTGTGGAGATTACTTCCTTGCCTTAGGCACTTTTCCTTTACTTTCAGTCAGCAGCTCTTGAATGGAAGAATGAAGAGAAAATACTCTTTTGCAGAATACTCTTTTTTCCCCCTTTTTCTCCGAAGGGAGATAGGGTGATGTTGGCAAGGAAGCGTATCATCAGCTTTCTGCTAGGTTTTGTATGGAACGATTTTGTGTGATTTTATCTGAAAAGAATGCTGTTTGGAGTAACTAAACTGACAGTTTTTATGAAAGCAACAACTAGAAATTATCCTGAGAACACACCTAGTCGTGTGCTTTACAACAGACTTCTGAGGTTACAAAATAAAAGTAAGACTATTTGTCAAAAGTCAAACTCACTGCAGAGAAGTTTATTTGACCTGTGGACCTCATAAAATTTGGCAAAGTTTTAAAAATGCTTGTCCTAGTCTTCCCAGTGTTCTTCCCAAAGTATAAAGGATCTTAATTTTTTTTTTTTTTTTTGCAAATATTGTGGAGTTTCTGTCATTGTACACCTAATTTTCACTATTTTTAAAAGCTACTGGCAGTCTGTTCTATTAATTAACTATTTTTAGAAACACACTTTTTCTAAAGTATAGTGTAATTCTATTCCTTGTCGTATCTGTTCTTCATATACAAAGATATGCTTTCCTTTTTCCAGAAATCTTTTATGAAGATCAGTACTTCCTTCTCCCCACTTCAGTTTTGCCTCTTCCGTTTGTAATTTGAACTGGTGTTTTGCAGAGAGCTGTGGACGCCAGGGTATCTATACAACTAGTGATTGTGAATATTCAGTTGCTGACTTCTAACCTCTTTTCCCTGAAAATGACTGACTCATTTGCACGATGGGGGCAGATTTGCCATTTGCAGTGCAATGTGTTTGACTTGTTGCTTGCCTTGACTCAGAAGCTGGGGCTGTAGCCATCATTACAGTAAAGAGAGGGACTGACACACACAGCCCCTGTCAGGCCGTGCACCCCTGGCGTAGCAGAGCAGCGCTGCAGTAGCCGCCGGCTTGAAAACTGAGACAGCTGAAACCTAAATATTTTATGAATCCATTAGCATGCAACACAGAACATTGTTAAAACTGCTACTGACTTGAAGTATGCAGATAATCAATAAATAACTCTCCAGTTTGCTGTTACCGTTAGGCTGAAGTGCCAGTGCAGTTGGTAGGTGTGTATTTTTGTCTAACCAAAATTTTCAGTTAAAGTTTTTTATATATATATATGTAAAATAAAGGCTTATCCTTTAACTGATCCCCTCACAAAACCTAGATCCAAAGCTGAAACTAGCAGAATTCAAACAAACACTACCACCATCTAGATTTTCACTGATTTCCCTGTTCTTCTCCTTTTGTTATTCTTTATCTTAAAGAACAATTATTAGTCTATTGAGCGAGTAATTACACAGAAGTAGGTTAATTAGCCTAGCAGATTTTGGTTTTGTCTTTTGAGTGAAGTAGGACTATGGAAAATCATTCAGGAAAGATGATACCTTTTAAAATTATGCTTAAAAATGTTATTCTAGATACTAATTGTATGTATGTATGTATACTAATATGTATGTAAACCTCTATTTTTTTAGTGTGTGATTTCCTTGGGGAAAAGATTGCATCTGTTCTGGGGATAAGCACACCCAAATACCAATATGCCATTGACGAGTATTACAGAATGAAGAGAGAGGTATGTGTGTGAGACAGGGTTCTCGCCGCTCTTTTTCTCCCAGCTTGCCTTCCCTGGTATTTTAAAAAACTGAAATTTGTATCCCAGCACTAAAATGAAGTGTCAGACCCTCTGTTTCAGCCTGCCCTCAGCGTTCGTTGGCGCTTGATCAGTGCTTGCTTCTCACCAGCCTTTTCTCACCAGCTCATCGCTCAGAACCGGCTGGGTCCCCACCGCTGCTGGGTTTGCTCCTGGCCCCATGCATTTTCCAGCCAGCGGTGCCAGGAGGGCGGATGGAGCAGTTGCTGGACACTGGGAAGAGGCAGCTGCGAGGAATATACTTTCCAACTCTAGAAGTCGTTCAACAAAGTCTCAAGAGTAAATGTAACATGATGTTACCATTTTGTCTAAACCGTAACTGGAAAGGACTGATACGTAGTCAGTGCTTTGTGTGAAAAAACAAACCCTTAATAATCTTAATTTGGAAGAGATGAGAAACATATTTAAAGCTTTACTATTTATTTTTGATAGCTCTAATATTAAGAGCTGAAAAAGTTTTAGAGGAGGTAGATTTATCCCTATTGCTATGGACTATAAACTGCTTATCTAGACATGGGGCATTTTTTCTGTGTTTGACACAGTTTAATCCTTCACTTTTTTTTCCCCATAATCTGAATTCTGGAATATATGTCATTTTATGATCAACTAATGGCTGTTTTCTAGTGGAACAACGCCTTGCAATAGGAACTGGTGTACTCTTACGGAAAGACTTAAAGTGAATTTAAGTAAGTGGTAAATGGTAAACAGTAGCTTACGAATCTGGTTATCATCTATTTTTAGGAGGAAGAGGAGGAACAGGAAAACAAGATGTCAGAAGCAGCAGAAAAACAGCATCAGGAACAGCAGAACAAGGCACAAGCTGAAGCTCCTGTCCAGACAGACCAGCCCGAAGCAACAGCGTGCACTTCGTTTGTGAATGTAAACTTTGAAGATGAGGGAGATTGTCAGTCCGTTGGGGAAAATAAAGAGGATGTAGTTCCTGTCCCTCCTCAAGTGTAAAGCTCTGTACAACGTAGGAAATAGGAGGCGTCAGGTGCCGCAATCTGCCTGTAAGAAGCAGGAAAAATAGGATTATACTTGTTTAGTAGCGTTCTTCTAGCGTTCTTATTGATCAGGAGAGAGCTGGGCACTGTCTGTTCAGTCTGCCTAACAAAGGCTGCGGCATCCTGCCAAATTGGCACTTCAGTTAAAATGAAAATTGCACTACAAACATTTGGTCTTAAATTGAATGTGTGAGCTAATTTATGTGTAGAGCAAGTAAAAATGTCTTTTCTTTGACTTGCTGTGTCTCTAAGACCTGTGGATTGCAGATGCAGTGCTGTTTCCTACTTCTAAACACCTACTTCTGATTTGCACATTGTTTGCAACTCAGCTCTCTATGAATAGATTAATAGGAATCAATATCCTGTAACTCACAAGTCATTATAGTAGTGTCCGATTTCCCCTATTTATTGTCACTGTTGTATGCATGTATTTTTTTTCTGTTATTGTTTAACACAAGAGGTAATGTTAGATGTAATGTTAATTAGATTTAAGGGTCCACTGCCTTTTTTTAAAAAAAAAACCAAACATCACCAAACTTTAAAGGAGGCTGTAAACACCCTTCAGAACTTACTAACAAGTCCCAGCACTCTCGGGGCCAGTCGCACTCAGCACAGGAAGTACAGAACTGGCATCAGGGTAAGATGTTCTCACTCCAGGGCCAAGAATTAAGACTCACTCGCTTGAGTACTTCTTCACATGCTCTTAATGGTCCTGGGAAATACACTAAAGCCTTGCTAAATTACAGGGAATGCACTGGACACTGCATATGGTACCATTCTAGAAAACTTTTTTGGACATCGGTTACTTGAATCAGTTACTTGATTAACCTATACAGACTATTTGTTTAATTACCAGTAAGGGACATGCCATGACAGATGTTTTTCCCCCCTCTAGCACAGAATACATAAATAACTAGAAACCACAACCCCAAACTTATGACTCTTCCTTTTTCTTAAATAAACAAAACACTTTGTTGCAATACTGCAACAATAGTAATTTTTGTTTAAGTAAAACAGAGGTAGCTCCAGAGCTTTTAAGTCGCCCCAAATACCAATTAAGGTTATTTTATTGCAATGACTGTCATTCCACTTGGAGCTTATAAAAGGTGAATGGTTTACTTCACAACAATCAGCTGTCAGTCCCCACTCCCTTTCTCTAGCAAACGGTTGTAGATAAAGGAGCACAGAACCTGCACTACTTGCTATATAGAACCTTACTTCTGTCCTCAAGACTTCTAAGATGATTTTTAAAAATAAGTCTTCAGTGCAATTCCGTGCTGGGTGTCATTGTACATCCATGGCCTCGGTCCCACTACCAGCTAAGGAGCCCGAGTCCACTGAGGTATTTCAGAGCAGCCTCTAACAGAGCTAGTTGCCTGTTGAGCACAAACTCCTCCTCTCCTCTGCCCGGAGCACTCCAGAAAATCTCCAGATTTCAGGATCCAGTCATCAGCTGTACTCCATCCCTTTTGATGCTCTGTTCTTTGCCTCCTTTTTACCCGTGAGACAGAGGGTGCTGACAGCTCTGTAAAATCCTGCCTCAGCCCGGTTCAACACCTGAGGAATATGCAGAAAAACAGCTGGTTGGGAGTTCTTATGCTATCAAAGGTGGAAGCCTCACATAGCTCAAGGGTTAAACCTTTATGGCTGAAGGATACTTCAATTTTCTGCCTAGAAATGAATGTCAGTTGCGTTGGGTTGGTTTTTTTTCCTCTCCCTTCTATCTGTTGCTTAAGAAACGCTCTCACTGCCTTGGGTTTAAACTTCTTTGTATAAAATACTGTATTACTCACTGTGCCTTAACTTAATTCTTCCTTCAGTTTTTTGCAAACTCTATGGAAGTAGTTACTTTCATAATATTTTAATTTTTCTGTAAATGCATTAACTGGTTATTTTATATTTAATATAATTTTTGAACTGGAAGTTGGCTATGGCTTTTCCTTCAAAAGGGCTCGGTGTTTGAAATGATGCCTGCACACAGCAGTGTGTGCCTGGGTGCCGTTTTCTAAGGAGTCACACACCCAGCCCTGAAATTCAAGATATCATAACCACCCCCAAACTCTTCCTTACAAGCTCACGGAGTCCTTGCGAAGGCGCTCGATGTGTTCACCACTTCCTCATGCCAATAACTAGTGCAGGACTGCAACCACCTCTGGCCTGGAGCTCCCGTAATTTTATCTGAAAGTTAAACATTTCTACAGTTTCACTGTAAAGTTTTACAGCTTTAACTACTGCTGTAGCACAGCTTTATAATTAAGCTAAATTACATAAAATACTTGCACGGGAGGTTATGCTGGTGAAAGCCTCACCTTTGGATTTGTTTTAACTAGACCTAAGCCTAGTGCAGTTTTCTTTCTGCTAACGAAACTCTTAAGAAATAGGTACATATTCAGTCAGTCCAATAATTATTTACTTATCCTTTCTGTTAGACATGTATAGAAAAAAAAGGCCTAAGCTTTTTACCTTTTACTAAAGACTTTTGCCTTTAGAAGAGAAGGTTCAAGTGTTCTTTTCAGAGGAAGCCACAGAGAATGCAGTGGGAGGCCTGGGATAGCTGAGCAGATATGGGCCAGCACTGAAGATGCCAAGAACCACATCCTTACTTCCAGGATAAATTCACGTTCCAAAACAGGGTACTCAAATAAGAATAGGACTTGGTACATGGTGGAAAAGTCCAAAGTATTTATTTTTTTAAAAAATGGTGCATGGGACTGAGCTATCTCTACGGATACAGCCTGCTCCTGTTCAAAGTCACGTATCGTCAACGTCAGCAGCGCTGTCGTTATCGCTGGCCACAAGGACCTCTCTGTTCTCGTACGTCCAGAACCCATTCAGGTCAATGAGAATGCTGGTAACAGTGTCTCCTTGGCTGCTATTGATTAAGTCTTGAAGGGAGATTTTGTAAGGATCCTTAGGCTTTACCATATCAAAGATTTCATCCTAAAAAAACAAACAAACAAACAAAAGTAAAAATTGGGGACACACACCCCCACACACATTAATGAGCAGAATAATGGCTACTTTATACCATATACAGAATGATCTTTGGGTAATAAGTGCCAGCCACACCAATTGACAAAAAGAGCTGTTAAGTCCCAAACCAGTTAAGATACAAAGCACAGTAACTGGCAGCAGTGTACTCAGCAACCACATTTCAAATAAGAATTCACTTTTCTGGGGAGGCTTTGACCTCAAAGTAGCAACATGAAACTGTTCGCTTGTATCACCTAAATTTATAGAAGCTCTTGTACTTTTTTTTTTCTTTTTAAGTACTAAAACTGCTAAATGTAAAGTAGTTTTAGACAGGTTTTTATAGTCACCAGTCCCAATCCCCTGCCCCAAGGGATGATCCTGAATGGTAAAATAGACACCCCAAGTATCTTCAAGCACAAGGCACAGCAACCTGTATTTAACAGGTATGGTCTGGTCATAAGGGAGGTAACTAGAACAGCACGTACCACGTTTCTTACAGGCAACTGCTGAACAGAAAACATGTTCAAACCCACGAGTAGGACAAGTCAGATCATCTCTACTACTACTGCAAGTAAATACAGCAACCTAGAAACTACAATATAACCTAAGCAAACTATGCAAGGCTTATTCCAATATTTCACACAGTACTCCATTCAGTAAAACTAACCTTGACATCCTGGAAAGAAACTGGTTCTTGGCCGTGGATTTTCATTTGTTCCTGTATGGCCTAGAAACAAAAGAACAGTTAGAACAGGTAGTGCAGTATTATACTGACACTGTATGAAAATTTTTAATGCTTCTGCATTTTAAGTTGTATTGCCCCATGACAAAGCATTCGTGGTACAGCTTGCACTCAGTTCTCCTCCCCAAGTGAGGTGGGTGAGTTAAGGCATAATTGGTGATAGGCATCTCTACCTTCACAGCTCTTAGTCAGCATGACAGGAATCCAGCTTTCATCATGACCAGCGTTTGAGCACACAGCACATGGGATGGATGTGCAGACACTCGAATATTATTTCTCAGCACTCAAAGCACTGTCTTTGTAAAGACAGTAAGACACACAAACCAGAAGATTCGGTTTTCTGGCAGAATGTGAAATAGACTAGGGAAAGAGAGAAGGGAAAAGACTGACCAGCAGACAGACAAAGCAATGTGGATACTCACACTTTCAATTAATTTGAAAGTGGAACCTGTATTCTGGTGTGAGGGAGGGAGGGAGACAATGTGTTTGTCTATTTGAGCATTTGTCCACGTGTGGAAGCGTTCTCCTTGTTCACGCTGTAAACGGGCACTTCTCGTTTTGAGCAAAACAGTATTTCCTACTGTTAGTTCTTTTAACCTAGTGCTATTTAAACAGCTCCAGCACCAACCCTCTGCCGCAAAGTAACAGCTATGAACAAAGCGGAGTGTTTCACTAGCACAAACAGCAGAGCCTCGTCAGCACAGCTGTATCAGCAAAGTGACTTCCAAAGGCCTGCTCCACACTACATTATTTGATGTTGTCAAGGAAATTTAAACAGCTCCAGCACCAACCCTCTGCCTGAAAGTAACAGCTGTGAACAAAATGGATTGTTTCACTAGCACAAACGGCAGAGCCTCGTCAGCACAGCTGTATCAGCAAAGTGACTTCCAAAGGCCTGCTCCACACTACATTATTTGATGTTGTCAAGGAACTAAAAAGAAGGGTTTTCTATGGGGAGTTGTTTTTTATTAAAAAAAAGCCTTTCCGTTTTAGAAAAGGTCTTCCAGATAGGTCTTATTTTTACAAAATGATCTGGTTGTAGTCACTATCAAGTTTTTTTTTTTTTAAAAAAAAAAAGCCTTTCCATTTTAGAAAAGGTCTTCCAGATCGGTCTTATTTTTACAGAATGATATGGTTGTAGTCGCTATCGAGGCTGATGTTCAACATGCTACAATATAGAAATAATATGGATATAAGATTATGCCTTGAGCAGGCCTGAATGTTTTACTTAGTGAGCTGAATGAGCTCTGTTCCTTTAAAAAAAAAAAAAAAAAAGACAAAACAGAACATCCGCCTCCCCCCAAACCAAACTCAACACCTGTTCATCATACCTTGAGGGTACGGCTAAGGACAATGACACTCCTTATTTTGGCAGTTATAATGCAAAGATCCACATAAAGAAAACCAAAGTGCTTGTCCCTTGTCTGAATAGGTATCACAGAAGGGACCTTGCCCATGAAAAAAGCATCCCACCTAACTCAGCAAAAATACTCTTTTCCTGCATGGCATTTCCCTTCCCAAGGCACAAACCAAAGTGCTTGTCCCTTGTCTGAATAGATACCACAGAAGGGACCTTGCCCATGAAAAAAAAGCATCCCACATAACTCAACAAAAATACTTTTTTCCTGCATGGCATTTCCCTTCCCAAGGCACCTCAGGTATCTATTAAAAAAAAAAAAAAAGACAGAACATCTGCCTCTCCCCAAACCAAACTCACCACAAACCAGAAGAAAACCAAAAAACCCATTCACACGCAAAGCACAATTTGGAGTAAGACTTTACAAGCCTTATGTTAATTTTAATAGTAACTAAAAAAAAAAAACTTATATTACATCTATTTTGGGAGCAACAGATAAAAATATAGAATATGAAACATGCAAGAAGCTCTTTGCAATCAATACACTGAATGAAAAACCCCACAGCTGTACAGGCCCATCACTGCAATTCATTATTTTTGTTTCTTCTACTGAACTTCAGGATTATAGTGGAAATTAAAACCACGGTCAATAACCAATTAGAACCATCATGAAGATTTTAATAGGTAATCATTAGGCAATTTTAAGACAATTTCAATTTAAAAGAAAAAAAAAAAACAGTTAATTTCAACTGCAGATAAAGCGCTGAAAATACCTTTTGAATTCTTTCCAAGTTTTGGAATTTTTTTTTTAATATTTTAAATCTTCTAAGAAGTAGCTACTAGCCTCCCAGTGGGTACTGGCAATTTAAAGTGATTTCCTGCAGATCTGCATGCAGAAGCACACAGGCTATAACACTATAAACACAGAAAATGGCCTACCTGTATAAAGAGACTTACCCTAAAGAAATAATTAAGGGAAAAGACATTCAGGTATCCTTTGTTCTCTATATCAAGCAGTTTGAAAATATATTGCAGAGCTGCAGGCTCCTTTCTGTTTTCTAATGCAAGCACAAAGTCCAGGTAGGTTTTATAGTCCTAAAAGTAGACACAATCATGTTTATTACAGTCTTCTTTCTAAATTGATTTTGCAAGCAGGAACTTTATAATTGGCAGCTATTTCATTGTAGGGGATCAGCCTATTTTCTGAAAAAGACAACATGAAATAGAAAATGGCTGCTACCACCGACATGAACAGAAAAGTTAGTTTTTAATAACTGCTGAGGATAGGAAATCCTGGCATTTTAGAGGTAAAACAAGATTCCTAGCACAAATCCAAATGACACGTGTGATATATACTTTTAAACAATGTTTAATACATCTTTAGACTGCTGAACATACTCAACCAGTGAAGAAAAGCCTTATGAAAGGTTCTCATTACCAGGAATTAAACATCCAGTGGCAATAAGCCTACCGTTACCAACTGGTGAACTACATGGCAATTAAAGTATATAAACCTTAGACCAGAGTAGGTAGTTTGATAAATCATGTGGCAGAAGTTTGGTAGACCTCACAAAAATGTATCATGCTTCTCTTTTCCATTAGTACTGATTATTAGTTTCCCAATCAAGGTATAGTTGTGACAAGGACAAAAATCCTTCAGTCATGTGTATACAATAACCCTGTTGACCTCAAACTCCAGGGAGTTCTGCTGCCTTTCAGAGGGACCTTGACATGCTGGAAAAATGGGCCGACAGGAGCATTGTCCAAGTCCAACAGAAGGGATACAAACTCCTGCATCTGGGTTAGAATAAGCCCATGCACCAGCACGTGCTGGGAGCTGATTACTCGGGA